TTTTCACTTAGTTTTTTTCTTCCCTCAGATATATTGAAGCAATGGTTCATTGTGCTAGCACCCAACATCCAGCTGCAATTGTTGATCATCTTCATGTTAAAGTCCTTAGAGAAGCAGTCCAAAATAGCAAGAATACTTTCTCGGAAAATGTAAGAATGTATTAAAATTTTGTTAGTCAAATTGGAATCCTTAGACATGTTGCAAAAATATTTATATTTCTTTGTCTATATAAAGGATAGCATAAATAACTACTGTGGATTAAGTTGCACTAAAAATTCTTATTTTCACAAGTGCAATTTTATTTTTCCTTTTTATTTTGAATGTAACTTAGTTCTAAACCTTTACTAAAGAAGCTTGGCTCTAAGTGAGTCAACATTCTTTAGTTTTAGTACCTTAATTTTTTCAGAAGCAAAGATGCATTTTTTTTTTAAATGGCAGTGCCAGGGTTTCAGCTCAGGGCCTTGTGCTTACTAGGCAGATGCTCCACCACTTGAGCCACTCCTGTAGCCCTTAGTATTGTTTTGAGGGTATTATTCATGTCAGCCAAATCAATCAAGTTACTAACTCCTATTGTGTGATGCTTCTAGAAATGAATCCAGTTTTAGTCAAATCTTGGTGCTCTTCTGGTGATTCTCCATTGGACTTTCAAACTTTTTTGTACCATATTTTGATTAGGGACCAAAGAAGAGATAAAAGTGAAGCTGATTATTTTTAGTGAATCATTTATTCATTATGTAGTAGAATTTGTGATAGGTAGGTAGGGTAACAAAGTATGGCAAAAAGAAATTTGGAACTATTCCTGGCTAAGGAGGAACCAGAAAGTAAGGATGACTTCAAGACAGTAGAGTTTAGTAATCCTAGAGAAACATAAGCTAATAATTGCTGTTCTCATCATTTTCTTTGTGTTTCTCTGTACGCCAATTTTACTTTATTACCTTTCTTAACCTCAGTTGGTCTATTTTCTAACTTTTCTAAGGTTTAGATTTTAAGGTGGGGTGTTAAACCAGATGTTAGCTGGCATGGATGGGCATATGGGGCACAGTGAATAAACAAGTTGTTGTGGATGATATAGAAATTGTGAAAGACCTGTGAAATAACTTCATTTTCAATCTTTTAGTTATCTTCCAAACAAGATGTTCGGGGGACAAAAGCTGAGCACCTTACAATAGGAACAACTAACCAAGGACAAGTTCAGACAAATCTTGTAACCAAGCAAGATAATGTAACAATTAAAGGTCTTCAGGCTAATGTTAGCATACCAAAGGTAACAATGTGTATTTTGAAACAAATTTCCTAGAACAGTAGAACATTTTCAGTGCTCTTTATTCTTTACATTTCCCAGAGTAGTAGCAGAGTTTGTAAGATCAAAAAGTAATTTATTTTTGCAGTGCTAGTTACGTGTTTGCACGTTCTAGGTAAGAACTCTAGTGCTTGAGACATGCCTCCCTCCAGCCCTTTCCTTTCTTTTTTGCTTTTGAGATAGGGTCTCAGGAACTTTGAGACCCTACAGGCTGGTCTGGTCTACAACTTCTATGATTATGAACTTGTGCCACCACACTCTTGATGATATCATATATTGTAAATAGTTTACCTAAACAGAATATTGGGCAGTATTGAGTAAAATATTCCATAGGTTTCCAGTAAAAATGTAATTATTAACTATTGTCTGAGAAACCTATATTATAAGTTTTATCTTTATCATTCTCAGATAATAGTAGTAGTTTTTCATTCTCATGTACATTTTAGGTTTAGGTGATGCCTTTGCACTTTTCAACTATGAAATTTGTGACATTTTGTGTATTAGGTAAACTTATGTTTGTTACAAGCCTCAGTGGAAGAATCTCCAACTACAGCTCCTAGAAGTGTGACACATGTTTCCTTAGTAGCATTGTGTTTTGACAGAATTGCTACGCAAGTTCGTATGAATAGGTGAGAAATTTGAGCCATGATTATTTTGCTGTATGTAAAAACAGACCTTGATTATTTTTTTTAGTACATTTCTACAAATTATACTTTATAACTCAAAACTGATTCTGGAATTTCAAATCTGCCTTTTATAGATTGGTTTAGCTTGATTTAAATTTGTATTTTGTTCCTAATTTTTTCAGTACAAATTGAGTAATTTATCATTAGTATTTTAATGAAGTCATTAGAGTGGTTTTTAAAAAGTAAACCACTTAGTTAAATGTTTTCACTGAACTGTATTACTTAAATGTTAATCGTTATGTGCTTTTTCTTTTCTCATAAAGAGGTGTTGTTGAAGAGACTTTAAATAATGCAGACCCTACTAAAACATCAAATCTTGATAGATTTGTTCATGCCACTAAGATGCAGCCCCAGTCATCTGGATCTCTTAGATCAAATGCGGGAGCAGAAAAAGGCAAAGAAATTGCAGCCAAGTTAAACATTCATCGAGTTCATGGGCAACTTAGGGGTCTTGATACAACAGGTAGAATTCTATAACAAATACATTTATCTTTGGGGTATAAAAATTTAAGGAGACTTTGCAGAAGGGAAGATGATTTTTTTCCTATGAATGTTGATACAATATGAATATTGTGTAGAAAGAGAGATATTTCTATGCCTATTGAAACACAGAACATTTAATCCTTTTTCACATTCTGTGCAGAATGGGAAGTAAACTTTGGTAAGAAAGTTTAAGTGGTAAAGCTCTGAATTACAAATTGCTTTTGTCTCCTGTGTAAAATGTTTTTTTCAGGCTAACTTCTTTGTTGTTATAAAACAGATAAAGCATGATCTTTACAGTTTTTCTTTTAAAAATTGTTTAACAAAACATTATCTAAAAGGATTATAATATTAATGAAGTCCATATTGCCTAGTCTTTTCATATTTATAAAATTACCTTTTTATTGGCATATAATAGTTGTATGAGAATACATTATGACATTTACGTATGTGCTTACAACATTAGATTCACCCCTCCATCATTTTCCCTCATCCTTCTCCCCTTCTTAAAACAATTTCAGCTGCTTTCATTTTCATACAGTAACACAAAATATATCCACCATATTTGCCTTCCTTCCCTCTTTCCTCATGCCATCCCCCACCTCCTGCAGATACCCACCCCTATATAGGACCTGTTTTACCTTCCTGTCCTTCACTTTTTTAAAAAGTATATTGGTAGTTCAAGGGGGTTTCATCTTGGTATTTCATACATGTATATATATCATCCCTTAATTAGATTAAAACCCATTACTTACTCTTTCTACGTTGACCTGTTCCCCTGTTGAGCAGCTTGCAGTGCATTGCATTATATTATCCTCATACACAGATGCAGTGTTTCAGTGTTCTTCACTCTTAACATTCTCTTTCCCTGTCCTGTCTCCCGATTGTCCTTTCAGATCCACTAATATAATCATGTTCTCTCTCTCTTTTTCTCTTTCTCTGTGTGTGTGTGTGTGTGTGTGTGTGTGTATATATATATATATATATATACATATGTACAGATATATGTATTCCTACATATAAGATCACACATGTATTTATATGTACATTTATCTTATAGCTTCCACATAAGAGGGAAAACATGCGACCTAGTTTCAGTCTCCTTTGTGGCTGAATGATACTCCACTGTGTATATATACCACATTTTCTCATTCATCAGTAGTGGGGCATTTGGGATACTTCCAAAGCTTGGCTATTGTGAATAGTGCTGTAATAAACATGGGCGTGCCTATAGCCTAGTCTTATTGCTAGTAACAATAAGAGTGGTAGACATTCCTGTTAAAATCCCTGGTGAGGTTAAAAAATAGAGCTGTTTAGATCATTTCAGTATTTTTAGTTTTATTTACTGCATTTTTTCATTTAGGTGATTAGATGGCATAGATTGTCATACTCAATCTAGAAAACATTGAATTTGCTATTTGGGGGTGATTGGTATGCTAAAATCTGGACCAATCTTGAATGAACAAAAGGGTTCCTTAAATTTGAATGTTTCCTGGTTCCTGTGTGTTTTAGGTGTATGTAACTGCTATGACTTTCTCAAGGCTTATTTTACCATCCTTGTGTATGAGGCCAAAGTATTTGACCTGAGTATTCAAAAGACTAGAAATGTTAAACTTATTTTTTTTTCATTTGTACAGGGGTTAACGTACTGTATTAAATATGTAAGGTCTTACCTATGCAGGTTTGATTACAGAAACTAATGAAAGTATTCTCTAAATAATGAAAAAGGACAGACTTTTCATAACCACCCGTGATTTATAGTCCTACAACTGGTACAGAATATGATGACTTGCTCTGTACTTTGCAGCAGTAACCAGTGTGCACTTGGGTGTTGTAAAGGCCATAAACAGTAGCTTTGCTTTTCAAATCCATCATCCAGAGAAAAACCTCTCAAAGTCAAAATTCAAAAGACAAACCTCAAATGAAATTCTACATTTGTGTAAAAATGAAAAAAACAAAAATCTTTGCTTCTATGTCCATTAGATATCTGACAAAGAATACTCAAATCCTCAATCTCAGGTTGTTTGTTAGCCATAGAAAGTAAAGTAGATATCTAAGTGCAATGCAGTGTTACAGGCTTTTTATTGTATACTCTCTCATAATTTTTGAAATTTCCAACTTTGGGAGTATATTACCTAATCATGAAATTTAAATATAATTCAAGTTAAATTCTCACCTTTTACCTATACTTCAGAGTCCTCTGAGGTACTTCATCAGGTTAAAGACAAATACAAGAATTAAATGATGAGAAAATTTAATAAAATGTAGGTGAATATTTGCTGTCAGAACAGGAAAGTTTTTCTTATCATAAATACAAGAAATGGTATTTCCATATAATAAAACAATATATAGCTATTAAATGGTATCTTTAAAGAATCTTTAGTGACCTGAGGAAATTATCATAGTAAGGAAATTTTAGTGAATTGAGGAAATTGCCATGGTTCTTGTTACATGAAAAGTGGAAACTAAAGCTGTGTTTGTAAAGTGATCTATAAATGCTAGAAGGCACCCAATCTTTGGGTGGTTAAATGTACTTTTTCTTTTTTGAATTTTACTTTTGCTTTTCTGTATTCATTAACTGTAATCAGAGAAAGAAATGAAAAGATGTGAGATAAGGTAAAAATTTTTCCCAGGCACATTGGATGTTGTTTCCATATTGTACCTATAAGCAGTGGAATCATAGGAATGTCTTTGATAAATTGTAGCTAAATAAAATATGTCAGGACAAAGTTTTCTTGTAGTAAAAGCTATTAATGTTCTTAGAAAATAATGTTTTTCCTAAGGCTGGGTAATTAATTAAAATAATTTTTTTCTAAAACTGAATTATTTAGGAGTTTATTAGCTTATGGTTTTAGAGTAACCTTATGATCTTTCAGAAACAACTTCATACTATCTTTGTACAATCACTTGTTAATCATTGAATCATCTTTTGGGTAACATTATTTTTATTTTTTTTAAAGAGAAACATGGTGTTTTTGCTAGTTTGAGATATAGCAGGTAGCATTATTTTAAAAGTTTCTTTCATGTATGTTTCTTTCTGACAGAATGCTAAGTTTTCTTTTAAAGACAACTGCTATTACAAATGGGTTTTTTTGTTGTTGTTTTCTTTAAAAATATTCATTTTTCTCTCTTTGATTAAATAGACATTGGGACCTGTGCCATCACTGCTATTCCTTTTGAGAAGTCCAAAGTTTTATTTACTCTTGAAGAACTGGATGAATTTACTTTTGTAGATGAAACAGATCAGCAAGCTTTTCCAGATGTAACTCGAATAGGTCCCAGCCAAGAAAAATGGGGTTGGATAATGTTTGAATGTGGACTTGAAAATTTAACAATAAAAGGTAATTTTTTTTTAATCCCTTCCCTGAATTCTGCTTAAGTGGGCAGGGAGGTAATTTAATTCACATTGTGGAAATGTTTTCAACAATTTTGAGTTTCAGCAACCTGAATGAGCATAATAAAGCAGAATGTGGTACCTGGGATTATTTACCAGGGTTGGATATGCCAACCAGATTCCACAAGTGGCACTTTTTCCTCCAAAATGAGGGTATGTGTCCTGACATACCAAACCTCAATGTCTGAACAAAATAATCTGTGATTTAGATAAAATTCTAAGTCCAGCTTTTTGAAAACTAGATTTTTTTTATTTTTGGAATTGAGTATAAATAGGGTTTATACTCAATTTATGTGGGATGTAAATATTGTAAATTCTTTGTTTAGTGAAAAATACATATTTGCTTTTTATATATTCTTAAAGGATATTTTAAAATAGCAAGATTGAATTTTATAGAAGACTTTTAGATTTAGTCCTATACAGTGTAGTACCTGCTATAATATTAATAGTTGTATATGCCTACACTAACTTACTTGATAAGTCAGTTATACATATCTTTTATAGAGAAGGGCAAAGTATTGGTGAGGAAAAAACATGGTCTGTGTGAAAACTTCTGTTATATTGTAGAGTACAGCATTAAAACACACATCCATTGTTTTTAATACACGAATCCCTTTATTTTTACAGGAGGAAGACAGTCTGGTGCTGTTTTATATAACAGTTTTGAAGTTATGGGTAAAGCTAGTGTCCCAGAAAGGGGTGGAGTGCTAACTTCCAATAATTCTTCCGATTCTCCAACGGGCAGTGGCTATAATACTGATGTCTCTGAAGACAATCTTCCATGTGACCGGACAAGCCCTGCCTCAGACGTAAATGGAAATTCTGTTTCAGATGAACAAGTTGGTGAATTTCTAATAATAATAATAATAATAATAATGCTTTGGAAATAGAGAACTACTCAATTGAAAATTAATTTCTGGAAGATAATTGCTTATCATTTTTGATTTGTGTATTTGCCTAAATATTAGTGATAGTATGTTGATGAATATACTATGACTAGAGTATAATTTCTGAAATGTATTATAAGTATATGTATATTCCATCATAGTACTTAGTATAATACATTGTTCATGTTATGCACTTAGCATTTGTTGAATTCATGAATTAATGGAACTTAAGAAAGTAGGCCTTTTGTTTCATGAATTTTGGCAGAAGTTGTTTTTTAAAAATTAATTTTGTTACTGGTAGTATTTCATGTAAGTTCTAAATATTTTCATTAGTACCTGCTTATTTAAGATAGAGTTGTGAATATTACCTTATATTCAATTAGTTTATTTTTAATATGATAGAATTTCATAGTCGTGGGTATAGTAGCAGATAACAAAAATACTTGAAATTCTGTATGGCAGAAGAGCTGGGCTCCTAACTGATTGGTTAGAGTTAGCTACCTTTTCCTAAGTTTCTTCAGCTGTGACAAGGAGTATGGTAATAATATTGACTTTACAGAGTAGTGAAGATTTAATTCAGTATCTAGCACACAATAAGAATTTAGGAAATGTGCACACATGAAATATTCTTCTGTTCATTTTTAAAATTTGACCAATTTAAGATCAAAGAAAAAAACTTCAAAAAAATCTACATTTTAATTAAGAAATGTGTCACAGTTATCCAGTGTTCATGGTTATACTCATTACTGCTCCTCAGATTCCTGGAGATTTTTTTTTTTAATTTAGTTTATAGTTAAAGACTTTAATCAGTTTTCTCGAGCTCTTTGGAAGTGTTTGGGGATGGATTAGCATTTTAATTAGGGAACAGTTGGTTCAGCATTATTCCTTCTCCTCACCAATGAAATATTTGGTGAGATATTTAATTGGTCTTTTTCTCAGATTCTAGCCTTCTTGCTGACAGTCCTTGACTTTCATAAGTATTTTCTTACAGTGCTCTTTCTTTTCTTGGTCGTTTCCTTATGGAATTCTTTTTCCTTCTCAAATATGGTTGTTCCTCAGAGGTTCTGTTCCTAGCTTTTCTTCTTGCTGTGTATCTACTCCTTTGACTCATTTTCTAGGCCAGTTCCATGATGTACTGATGCTTCTCTTTTCCATTAGTTATGCCTGTGGTAACATTTCTTGACTGGAGCTCCAGAATTACGTTCAGTGGCCTCTTACATAACATCAGCATTTACATGTGCCATGGGCACCAAAATGCAGTCAGTCTAAAAGTAGATATGTTACTACTTTGCATGAACCAGTACATTTTTATAATTAATTATACATAAGTCTTCCTCCCTCTAAAAATTCTAAAAAGTTCTATATCTTTGTATACCCGGTGCCTGCCTTACAGCCTTTTATCTGAAACCTATGGACAAGATGTATTTGAAAAATCAGAGTTTTTATTTAATATTTATTTATTTTTTGTGTTACTTGGGATTGAACCCAGGGACTGTACATGCTAAGCAAGAGCTGTACCATTGACCTTCCACTGCAGTTCAATATTTATTTTTAACATACTAAGTCTTGTTATTTTTAAGGTACTTAGTAGTGTCACATGCTGAAACTTCAGGTCTCAAGTGATCCTCCTGCATCAGCCTCCAAGTAGCTGGGAGTACAGACATGTACCATTATGTCCAGCTTAGCTTTTTTTTTTCTTTTAAAGAAAGGTAATATGGTAGGTATGCTGTATATTACATAAATTCCTAATGGGATCTGCGGCAGCTCACCTTGAAATACTTTAATAATTCTGCTTAACATTAAGCAAAACACCAAGTGGGATAAAATTGTCCCTCATCCGTTCAGACCAGATTTTGCTGCCACATTTATAAAGGAAAGGAAAGAGGACGGGATCAGGTAAAGAAAAGAAAGATGTAATTGTTTGACACTTCATGGATTTCAGAAGTAAGTGATTGTACACTTGTGTTTCATGACTACCAATTTTGTAATTACTTGTGACGCAGTAGGATTCAAAGTTGTTTTGCGGGTACTTTCATTCTGTGATCATCCCACAAACATTCAAATGTTTTGCTTATCTTCATCAACAACATCTAAAAGTGAATTAGTGACTAGCAAGTAGATGTAACTTGCAGAAGATTTGTCTCTTTAATATTATGCTTTTTACTCCCCTCTTAAGAAGAGTAGTAATTGTACATCTAAAAAATATTCTTATTATTCAATACAGATTCAGAATACTAGCATATAAAATAAGACTTTTTATTATAAAGTGTTATTTGTACATTTCACAATAGTTTTTTTTGTGGCACTTTATTGGGGAAGTTGAAAATATTTATTGAAATGAAATGGAAAGCATATTGGAGTAGGAAGCCGAAGACCTGAATTTTTATCACCCATTCTACAACTTAATAGTTATATGCTCTCTGACAAATCCCGAGACCTCACAAGACTTCTTTGTTTCATTTTCTTCATCTGGAAGAGGTATCATTCAGCATCCCTAAACAAATGCAATTGAATGAAGTGATTAAGTGAAACCCTTTTGTTCTTCTAGCTCCAATTTATGGTTTATAGTGTGCTAGTTTTTCAGACTATGCTTCTTGGAACTTTAAAGGATTCATAGATATTTCTCAGAATCAACAGAAGGTTATGATGAGCAATGTTCACGTTACCTATTTTGTGTAATGATTTTATCTGTAAAACCTGATTGATGAAAATATTTCATGCTTAACACTAACAAACCTCTGTGTTAGTGTTTTTAAGGGGGCAATACATTAATGAATTTTTGGCATTCTATTTTATATAGGATGAAGGAGTTGAATCTGATGATTTGAAAAAAGATCTACCTCTAATGCCTCCACCTCCAGATTCATGTAGCATGAAATTGACCATTAAAGAAATTTGGTTTAGTTTTGCAGCACCCACCAATGTGAGGTCTCCTACACATGCATTTTCTAGGTAAAGAGATTTAAAGTTTAGTACTGTGTGTTGATGTTTCCTGTTTAATAGTATATAATTCTTTATATACTTTTTGAATTTTTTTCTGATTTATCTAATACTCTAAGAGTACTAAGGTTGTTGCTTTTTTCATACTTTCTGTGCACATTATCCTCTCCTTATTTGACCCAATTGCTTTCCTGTTCTTTCAGTTTTATTTTTACTTGTCTCACTGTTTCAGATTCTTGTTTACACTTTCTTTTTTACTTATGATAGGTTTTTTCCCCTATCTTTTCTTATTTTCCATTTCATAGTTACATTTTCATAATTTATCAGTGATTAAAAGGAAAATAAAATAATTTTGCCCATCAGCCAGTAAAGCTGATCATGACATGACTGTAATCACAGCAGTTGGTAGGCTGAGGCAACAGGATTGAGAGTGTGAGGTCAGCCTGGGCTATATAGTGAGACACTGTCTCAATCCCCCCGCCCCCTCCCAAAAAAAAAATCCAGTTAAGTACTGTAGGTATGGGAAGTTGTTTGTAATATAAATTTCGAGAGTTGTAATAATTTTATATTTGTTTTAAAAGGCAACTGAACCTTTTAAGCACAGCAACTCCAGCTGTTGGTGCATGGCTTGTTCCCATTGACCAACTGAAGTCATCCTTAAACAAACTAGAAACTGAGGGAACCTTGAGAATTTGTGCAGTTATGGGATGCATAATGACAGAAGCATTAGAGGTATGTCTTTTAATCATGTAAGGTACCACACATACTTTCTTATTAAAAATGATCTCTTACTACTAATCATTATTAGAAAATGTCAAACCTGCAGGTTATTAACTAATACATATCTTTTATTGTACAAGCTTTCATACATATCATTCTAATTCATTCTAAGTTGTTGTTGCTTGGTTTCAGAATAAAAGTGTACATTTTCCCCTAAGAAGTAAATACAACAGGCTTACAAAAGCTGCTCGCTTTCTCCAAGAAAATCCTTCATGTTTACTATGTAACATACTACACCACTATCTGCACCAGGCAAATTACTCTATCATTGATGATGCTACAATGGTAAGTCACTTCTTTAGCTTTGAAGAAGTCACTATTCTGTTGTAGGAATACTGACTCTCAGATTTGAGATGTATAGGTAAAGTCCAAAGGGAGATGTCATTAGAAATGTAAGTTGGTAGAAAACAGTGTCTTCAGATTAATGATATGGGAGTTGCCAGAATAAAGGTGCTACCAGAAAATGTGGACATGGATAAGATTTCTTGGTATGATATGTTGAGTGAGGAAGTGGCATGGATGGAATCCTGAAAAATGCCAAAATTAAAGGAGGATAGGGAAGTTGGATAGAAGTGCACAGAGTACTGAGAATGGAAAGGAAGAGGTAGGAGAACTAAGAAAGTTATATTTTCCGAGCTAAAAGAATAGATTTCAAGCAAAGAATAATCACAAAAGTCAAACTTCACATAATGGCTTAATAAAATAAGGACTAATTAATGATATAGGGGAGAATATATAATTGTGCAAAGTAAATATAATTCATCCCTGCTCCTAGAAAAGGCTGACAATGTGTTTTGATTAGGGTTTTAGAGTTTTGAGGACATCCCTTCTCTTCTCTTGGCTTCTGGGCAGTAGAGCATACAGAAGCATGTTCAGTCGAATTAGAGACGGTGTATCAGTATTATTAATGACCATCCATGCCATTGACCAAACAAGTCAATCTTTAGTTAGAGATAGATTTATAAAAAGATACTTAGATCTGAGACTGTTCTGTTTCCTCCTTGTGAATTGAAGACTCAGAAGGTCAAAGTGCAAGTCTAACTTGCTCATCTTATAAAAGAGTGGCAGACATTTCCCATGGATATATGCTCCGTCAGATGTGCTTTCCACTTAAGAGGAAAAGGTACCTGTTGACCCTCATATTTAGGAAGGAAATGGCAGGCCAGATATTCCTCAGAAATTAAATGGGATGATTTCTGGCCTCTAGTAAATGGCTTTCTTCAATCAAATTGGGTATTTATCCTAACATGAGAAATAAGAAAGTAGAAGGAGAATAGTTAGTGATTTTGTCTTTAGGTGACATGAAAATAGCCAAAAGTTTCTTTCTTAAAATCATCATCATGTGGGTTAAAATGTGTTTTAAACTGTATAATTATTATTAGTAATGTATTTAATGTTTAAGATAGTTGCAAGTCTATGTATGTTTAGTTAGCATTTAATTTATAGTAATTAATTCTTTTAATGTTTAAGATGTTGATAATTAAATCTTTGAGAGGAATAACTTTATTTCCTCTCAACGTATTCCAAATTGCTCCAAATGCATTTTGATTCTTCCTTTGGGCCAAAAAGGAAACAGGATTAAATGATTCTTAAGAACAATCCCAGTTTTGCACCCCATAGTTAGTGTCATATTTACTGCTATTTTGTTTTATGACAGAAATATGCAGTATATTTAGAATCTGAGTTCTGTATTAGTCTGCTTTCTGATACTTATAATGAAAGATCTGATGCTGAGTACTTCATGAAGAAGAGCTTTTCACAGTTCTGGAGATTCCAGGACATGGCACTGGCATCAGCTTGGCTCTGGTGAGGATCGCTTGGCGGATGGCATCACGATAGGAGCATGAGTGTAAGAGAGAGATCACATGACAAGACAGGAAGCCAGGGACTGAGGAGATGCTAGTCTTGCTTTTTTTTCTTTTAATAACATCCCTCTTGCCAGAACTCACCAGGGTCAACCAGAACTACATTAGTGTATTCTAAGAGCAATGTCCTCACATGATCTCCACTATGTACAACCTCTTTAAGATGCTGTCACCTCAACATTGTCGTAGTGGGAACCAAGTTCCTAACACATGAAACATTGAGGGACAACTCAAACTATATTCAATCCATACAGATCCTGTTGTCAACTCAAGATCCTGGGTAACTTTGGATACAGATTACTTGACATCTAAGCTTTAGTTTCCTCATCTCTAAATAGGGATTTTGAGATTTAAATGACTAGACGTATCCAGAGTGCTGAATGGCCACTTACTACTTAAGTTTACTTCTAACTTTATTCTTGTTGTTATAGAGTGATGGACTTCCTGCTTTGGTAACATTAAAGAAAGGTTTAGTTGCACTGGCAAGGCAGTGGATGAAATTTATTGTGGTCACACCAGCCTTCAAAGGAGTTAGCTTACACAGACCAACTCAGCCTCTGGTACCTCAAACAGCTGTGGACTATGAACATGAAGATGGACTTGGGCTGGACAATGGGGGTGGTCTTCAAAGTGATACCAGTGCTGATGGAGCAGAATTTGAGTTTGATGCAGGTAATTCTAGCTTGTGGTGTTTTCTGGCTCAGATATGTGCATCTTCTATTAATAAATCTCTATTTAGTAATATTCCTCTTTAAAAGATATTAAGGCTTATTTTTCCCATAGTTATTAATAAATTGTTAGTATAAGCAAATCCTTTAGCTAGATTTTGCACTTAGTAAGATTATACTTAATGATAATTTCAATAATTTGTGTCCTAAATTTGAAAATGTTGTGATTTTATTATATAGGTATGATTTTTATTAATTCAAATAAATGGTAATGATTTTTGAATCTTCTTACTGACCAGATTTTATAAGTTTGATTTTGTGAAATATAGAAGACTTTTCTCATTTGTGTCCATTTTATTTGATGTTTCCAAATTAAAAATAGTCAAAATTCTTTCACTGATTAAATTGAGACCATAACACGTGAGGCTATGCAAAGCAATTGAGTGTGTACAACAATCATTTCTCCCTTTCAGTTTTGCTGGTTAATATTATGATGTGATCAACAGAAAATTGGATGACATGTGCTTGATTGGAAAATATCATCTATTTACAAAATAGACTTCTTAGTAGAAAGACATCTTATAAAAATGCTTTGAATGAAACCCATAAGTCTCCACTTAAAAATTGTATTTGTGTATGTATCTGCTTTTAAAGGAGCCTTTGTTTTATTACCTGGTGCACATTTGATTCTTGTTTTTGAATATATACCACATTTTCTTTTTTTTTTTCTTATTCTCACTGGGGGTACATGGTGGCATTTACAAAAGTTCTTACAATATATCAAATATATCATACTTGAATTCACTCCTTCTACCATTCTTCTCCATCTGCCCCTCCCACCATTCCTGGAATAGTTTCAATAGGTATCCTATTTCTTCATTTACATATGTGTGTACACAATATTTGCATTATGTTCATTCTCCTTCACCATTTCCCCACCTCCCCCCCTCACCAGTACCAATACCCTCAGGTAGTACCTGTTCAGCCCTCCCACTCTCCAATTTTGCATAAGAAAAAAAAGAAGAAAATGACATTTTGGCTTGTTTAGGATAGCTATACAGGGAGTTTTCTTGTGGCACTTCCATATATACATATATGGAAGTACCACAAGTTTATATGTATTATAGCCTGATTGGGTTTACTCAATAAGGAATACCTTATTACCTTTCTTATAGTGCTTTCAACAGATTTAAAAATTCTGTATTCATTCTTGTATAGAGCAAATTTGGGAGCCAACCCTGAGACTACAATTATGTTACTAAGATGGTTCTGTCTGAACAAAGTGAATATGCATTTCTGAAATGCACATAGTTTTAAATCTTTTCCAAAGGTTAATTTTTATTATTATGCCAATATGTAATATTAATGAGTTTATCTTACAATATTTTGAAAAAATACTTAAAGTGGAAGAATTTATATTTGATAAACAAATGTGTTTTAAGGAATTGGCTGGATCTTATTACCTATTTTCCAGAATTTCACGTCTACATGAAGATTGAAAGAATAGTGCAGTGAATGTCCTTTTTGAATTATCTAAAATGCCTATGTTAATCTATGACATCCTGTATGTTCTTGAGGATGATTGAATTTGATTTTTGGTCCCTGGTATTTTTTGTGTGGTACATGAAAAATTTAATAGAAAGTGTTTGCTCCTTTTACTGGGATTGAGTCAGAGGATTGATATTGGGGAGAGAAAAGTCAATACTATGACAAACTCTACAATTCTTTTGTCAAATTATGAAAACTGATTGTAGCTTTACAACCCAGAACATTGGGGTTGAAGTTTCAAGAAAATGTGTGATAATACAGAGCTCACTTTTTCTTTTGAATTATTTCAGCCACAGTCAGTGAACACACAATGCTACTAGAAGGAACAGCTAACCGGCCACCACCTGGTAGCTCGGGACCTGTTACTGGAGCTGAGATAATGAGGAAACTTTCTAAAACTCATACCCACAGTGACTCTGCATTAAAAATAAAGGTATTCTTATTTTCTGTTTGTGGTTATATTTATTTAGACTTAGAGAAGATCTGAAATTTTGTGATATCCCAAATTTAAGTATCTGTTGTCCAGCCTACATGTTCAACTAGTTTTTTTATGTTGAAATTACCATGATCAGTAACTTTTAATGTACACATTTCTCTGAAAATGGTATTATTAATAATTACTATTGAATAAGGTTTAACTACCAAACTTTAGTGCTGTCCCTTTATTTTATTGAATATTGCATACAATAATCCAGTATTGAAAATGTTGATGATCTTGTGATTGTAGTTTTAATGAGAAGTCTTATAGGCAGTGCATGAGAAATCTAAGATTTGGATTAGGTTTTTGTGATTTTATTTACATTGTCTTGTTTTAAAAAGGATAATGAATGCTTGTTAAGAGACAATAGATAGTGAAATTGGTTTGACTAGCACCTTAGAAGCCTTGGTTCGAATCCTACTCAGAGAGTAAAAAAGTTTTATTTTTAATTTATTAGCATACTATTATTGTACTTGGGATACATTGTGGCATTTACAAAAGTGCTTACAGCAAATCTAACTAGATTCACCCCCTCCATTGTTCTGCTTTATCCCTCCTCCCTCCCTTCTTAGAAGAGTTTCAGCAAGTCTCATTGTTTCATTTTCACACATGAGTACATGATATTTCCACCATACTTGCCCTCCTTTACCCTTTCATTATGTCTTCCACTCACCCACTGGTACCCACCCCCCAATTAGGACCTGTTTTACTTTCTATCCTTTATTTTTGAAAAAAAAAATTTTTTTTTTGTTTTTTTAAGATAGCTATACAGCGAGTTTCTCAGTGACATTTACTAGTATATATGTATTATATCCCCAACTGGCTCATCCCATCCATTTTTCTCCTTTTTACCTTAGTCCCCTTCTTATAGTGATTTGAACATTTTTAAATATTTCATATTTATTCTTGTCTAGAAAGTACATCAACCATGTCTACCTTCTTTATTTCCTTTTTTACCCTCCCCTTTCTGATAGTACCTTCCCTTTAGCGTGACCTGTTTTTTATTTTTACCTTCACTATTTAGGTGTCTGATCATTGTTCAGTGGGATTTTTTTCTTGGTATTATACCTTACATGTATTTTGCATAAGTTAACCTAACCCCTGTTCATTGCACTTCCTCACCCTTTCCTCCCTACCCTGCATTGTTTAGCAGTTTCACTGTGTGTTATTGTGTCTTGTTCCTGAAGATGTGATGTATTTCATTATTATTTGCTATCTCTCTTTTGTTTTCCTCCTCTTAGTCACCTCTAACAGTCTCATTTTGGGTACATGTTCTGTATGTATTTTTTGTATGTATGGGTATATATATATGTATACATACATATATGTATATATGTATGTATACATATATATATAAACATTGTGTATTGGACCTATATTCTACATATTAGAAAAAAATACAGCCTTTGGCTTTCTGAACCTAACATGCAATTTTTGGACTTCTGAGCCTGGCTAACTTCACTTAAGATGATATTCTTCATGTATATCCATCTACCTGTAAACAACAAAATTTCATTCTTCTTTAAGGTTGAATAAAGTTCCATTATATATACATACCACATTTTCTTAACTCATTGGTCAGTTGTGGGGCATCTTGCCTATTTCCATAGTTCAGCTATTGTGAATAATGCCGTGGAAAGCATGGGTATGCGATTGTATTTTCTGTAACCTGACCTAACATTCCTGCATGTATATCCTTAGGAATGATATTGCTGGATCATACGGCAGATCTATTTTCAGTTTTTTGAGGAACCTCCATATTTTTTTCCATAGTGGTTGCACTAATAATACATTCCTACCACAGTGTATGAGGGTTCCTTTTTCACTATATCCTTGCCAGCATTTGTTATTGTTTGTGTTCTTGATGGTGGCCATTCTGACAGGGGTGAGGTAGAACCTTAATGTAGTTTTGATTTTCATTTCCTTTATGACCAAGGATGGTGAGCATTTCTTCATGTTGTGTTTTTTAGCTAGTTGGACTTCTTCATTTGAAAAGCTTTGTTTATTGGGTCATTGATTCTTTGGCAGTTTACTTTTTTGAGTTCCTGTATACTCTGGTTATTAATCCCTTATCAGATGTATAGCTGGCAAGGATATTCTCTCATCATGTGGGCTACCTCTTCAGTCTGGTGACCATTTCTTTTGTTGTGCAGAAGCTTTTTAGTTTCATGTAGTCACATTTGTCAGTCCTTTCTCTTAGTTGCTCAGCCATTTGAGTTCTATTTAGGAAGTCATTGCCTATGTAGATTAGTTCTAGTGTATTTCCAACTCTTTGCACTGGCTTCAAAGTTTCAGGTCTTATATTAAGGTCGTGAATCTACTTGGAGTTGATATTTGTACAAGGTGTAAAACATGGATCTAGTTTCAGTTTTCTACATGTGGATATCCTTCCCAGCAACATTTTTTGAATGGGCTGACTCTATTCCAGGAATGGGTGGGTGTGGGGGCAGGAAGAAGGAGATAAAGGAGAATGATATTAAAGTTTGATATGTTATAAGAACTTTTATAAATGGCACAATGTACTCCACCCAGTACAACAAATAACAACAACAAAAAAAGGCTTCTTCATTGTATGTTTCAGGTGACTTTGTCAAAAATCAGGTGGGCCTAGGTGTGTGGAGTCATATCTGGATATTCTGTTCTGTTCCATTGGTCTTCATGTCTGTTTTTGTGCCAGTGCCATGCTGGATTTTTTTATTTCCTATGGCTCTGTAGTATAATTTGAAGTTGGGTATTGTGATACTTCTAATGTCGATCTTTTTGCTCAGTATTGACCTGGCTACTTGAGGTCTTTTCTGCTTTTGAATGTTCTCGAGGGTTGATTTTCCAACTTCTGTGATGAGTATTATTGGAATTTTGATGGTGATTGTTACTATATCCATTTTCACAATATTGAGTCTGCCAATCCACAAACATGGAGGTCTTTACATCTTCTGAAGTCTTCCTCAGTTTGTTTCCTTAATGGTTTGTAGTTTTCCTTCTAGAGGTCTTAAAGTTTATTCCTGGGTATGTTTTTGAGGCTATTGTAATTAGAATTGTGTTCCTATATTCTTTATCGGTATGTTCATCATTGGCTATATAGAAAAGCTACTGATTTTTGTATATTGATTTTGTATCTTGCTACTTTCTGAAGGTATGTTGATGTCTTGGAGTTTTTGTTGGAGTTTTTTGGGTCTTTTTGGTATAAGATCATGTCATCTGCAAATGTGGGTAGTCAGACTTCTTCCTTTTCTGTTTGAAGTCCTTTTTTTTCTTCTTCCTATCTTATTGCTCTGGCTGAGAATTTCAAGAGTATGTTGAATAAAAGTGGAGGAAGTGGACACCCTGGTCTCATTCCTTACTTTTTGAGGAAATGTCTTTACTTTTTCCCCATTTAATATGATGATGGTTATAGGTTTGTTGTATATAGCCATTATTGTATTGAGGTATATTCCTTCTACTCCTAGTTTCATCAAATGTTTTATTGTGAAAGCATGTTGAAGTTTGCCAAAGGTCTTTTCTGTATCCATTGAAATGATCATGTGTTTTTTTCTTTTTTTTCTGTCTTTGCTTCTGTTAATACTCTGTATTACATTTTTAAAAATGATTTGTGTATGCTGAGACATCCCTAATGATTCCCTGGATTTCCTTGGTGTTTGTTGTGATCTCCTATTTTTTGTTTCTAATTTTATTAATTGGAAGCTATTCCTTCCTCAATTCTGTCAGGTTTGCTAGGATTTTATCAATCTTAATTATCTTTTCAAAGAACCAACTTTTTGTTTCATTGATTCTTTGCCCTTGGTTTGGTCTCTATTTCATTTATTTTGGCCTTGTAGCATGGAATACTCTGTAGACATCCATCAGGTCCAAGTGATCTATGATGTCATTCAATTCTAGTTTGTTGATTTTTTTTTCCTTTTCTGGTTGACCTATCTATTGGTGATAGAGGTTTATTGAATTCTCCCACTCTTACTGTGTTCAGGTCTATCTGTATTTTTATGTCTAGTAAGTGTATGTTTAATGAAGTTGAATGTACCGACATTGGGGACATACAAGTTAACAATTGTTATTTCTTGTTGATACATTGCTCCTTTAATTAGTAAGAGGTGGCCTTCTTTGTCTCTTTGAAGTCTACTTTGTGAAATCTGTTATTTTGATGAGTTTACCTTTGTTACTTGATTTTTCTCTCTTACAGCCTTCAATATTCTTTTCTTGTTCTCTGTGCTAATTACTTTAACTATAAAATGCTATGTAGAGGTTCCATTTTAGTCATGTCTGCTTGGTGTGCTGGAGGCTTCCTGTAACTGAATGGGCATCTCATTTTTGAGACTTGGGGAAATTTTCTGCTATTATTTTGCTGAATATATTACCTATAACTTTGGGTTACACCTTTTCTCCTTCTTTGATGGCCATGATTTACAGGTTTGGTCTTTTGATTGAGTCACAGAGTTCTTGCATTTTCCTTTTGCAGCTCCTCATTCTTTTGTCTAAGAATTCTTCTGCTTTTTGTTTATTTCTATTTTGTCTTTGAGCCCTGAAATTTTGTCTTCCATGTGTTCTAATCCCCCGGAGTGGCTTTCAACTGTATTTTTAATTTGACTTAAGGAACTTTTTATTTCTAGGGTTTGGTTCTTTTTATTTTTTTGAGACTGTTTGTGTCTTTGTTAAACTCTTTCGTATCTTGTACTGTTTTCTTTATTTTATTTATTTCTTTTTTTTATAACAACCTTAATTTCATTTTGGAGTTTGTGAAAATCCTCTTTAATTTAGTTTTTGCTGTTTCTTCTCTAGTGTTTTTTAAATCCTTGTTCTCCTGAAATTCTTTCAGTTGGTTTTGTAATTCTTCTTTAAGCTCATTGGACATTCTTATCATAATTGTTCTGACAGCAGCAACTGAGGATTCATTCCTTCACTTTCCACCAAATCCTTTATGGTTTTATTATTAGGCTTTTGAGGAGTCCTATTCCCCAGTCTTC